ATTCTAGTAGGGTTTGCTTTATATACCTTGGTGCTCTTTCATTGGGAGCACAGATATTTATTATGTTTATGTCATCTTGCTCATTTGCCCCTTTAATCATGAGATTGTGTCCTCCTTCATCTCTTATTCTGGCTTTTGTCTTAAAGGGTATTTTATCAGCAATTAATATTACCACTCATGCTTTTTTTTATTGCAATTAACTTGGTATATTTATTTCTATCCTTTAACTTTTAGTTAGTTTTTGTCTTTGTGTATAAGGTGTGTCTCTTGCAGGCAGAATATTGAAGGGTCTTGTTTTCTTATCCATTCTGCCACTCTCTTTCACTTTGCTGGTGCATTTAATCCATTGACATTCAGTGTAATTATCCATAGGTGTGAATTAATTACTGTCATTATTTTACTTTTTGTGGTGGTGTTTGTTCTTTTTTTCTGCATGCCTTCTTGTGCTGAGTTGTGGTTTTTGTTGTATTTCTTGTCTGTTTCTTCTTAGTTTTAATGTTTCCTTGTTTTGCTTGGATCTTCATTTTCATGGTAAGTTGTGAAGTATTTACTTTCTTTGGGGTTACCCTATAGTCTATTAACTTTTCCCTCCATTTAAGACAGTCTATTGTAACCAGCAATTTACTGGTTGAGCAATTGACCTCAACACCTAGATCTCTGTTCCTATGTTTACCCTTCTTTGACATTGTTATTATTTTGATCATCCATTGACCTCCCAGCTCCTTTGAATTCATTGCTGTATTTTTGTTCTGTTCTTGACTCTGCTATCTGTCATCTGAGTTCTGGATGGTGTTACCACGTCTGTCAATCTCTAGTTGTTATCTGTTCTTGTTGGTTTTAAATCCAAAGAACTCCCTTTAGGATGTTTTGAAGCTCTGGATTGGCTTTGACAAAATCACTTAGCTTCTCTTTATCCTGGAATATTTTGATTACACCATCATATTTGATTGACAGTTTTGCTGGATAGATGATTCTTGGTTGGCAGTTTTTTTATTTTAGGGTTTTACACATGCCTCTCCATTGCCTTCTTGCCTGCATGGTTTCTGCTGAGAAGTCAGAACTTAATCTGATTTCTTGCCTTTGTAAGTAACACATCTCTTTTTCCTGGATGCTTTTAGGATTCTCTCCTTGTCTTTGATTTTGGAGAGTTTGATTATGATATATTTTGTTTTTTTACTTTGGGGTCTATCTTTCCCGGGGTTCGTTCAGCTTCTTGAATGTTTATCTTCTCATCCTTTAAGATGTTAGGGAAATTTTCTTCCAGTAGCTCTTCAACTATCTTCTCTGTGGACTTGTGTGATCCTTCCTGTTCTGGAATGACCATGATTCTTAAATTATTCCTTTTCATGTTTTCCAGCATGAATCTTAGACTCTCTTCTGATTTTTTTTTTTTTAATCCTTTTTTTCTGCTTGCTCTTCTACTTTAGCAGTATTGAGAGATTTGTCTTCCAGATAACTGGTTCTGGCTTCCATCTCTTCAGTTCTATTCATTTACCCTTTCAATGTATTGTCCATTTCTGATACTTTATTATTAATCACCTGGACCTCTTTATGCAATGTTTTGAATTGTTTCCAATGCTATATATATCTTGTTCGATTGCTCCTGTAGCATTTTCCTGACTTCTTCCTTGTTTTCCTCCACTTTTCTGTGACACATTTTAATTTGTCTCCATATCATTCTTTTGAATTCCTTCTCAGGCAAATCCAAAGCCAGCTCTTCTTCTTGTGGGATGTCTATGTCTGCCTTAAGCTCATTTGTCTCAGTTATTCTTTTCTGTTTTTTTGGTCATGTGTTGGGACCTTTTGTTGCTTTTTCTTGGACATTTTCAGTAGTTAGGTGTATTTTCAATGATTAAATGAATGTATCTTACTTTGTTGTTAAGATTCTTGAGTGTCTCCTGGTGGATGTGATCTGGAAATAGGCTTCCCTTTTTATGTGTAATGCCTAGCATCTGGTATTGGCTCCTGTCCTGATGGTGGGATATTATGGGGGTATGCTCGTAGCTTGGCTATCTGGCCACAATTGCTGTCTCTTCTTGGATAACATAGGGAGAGAAAGCTCCCACCCCCAGGAAAAAAGTGAGATCAAAAGTTCCCAAAACAGAAACAATGTAAAAGCAGAAACAAAAACCACCACTCAAAAACAAAAATAAAACTGTAGCTGACTAACCAGCAGCCTTTGCTATGTAGGTCAGTGTGCGTGCGCAGTAGAAACCTCCAGCAGTGGATGGGGGTGTCCACTCAGGCCCCTCCCATCATCACTACTTTGCAGTTGTAGATAGATATTGAAAAATTAATGGAAGAAAGATTGCCTACTATTTTTATTTCTCAATGTCAGTTAATTATCTGTTTGTGCACAGCATAATTCTCAAAATGGCTGCATCTTTGTGTGTAGTAGTTGGTGTTGACTCTTGCCTTTATGTTGGAGTTTTACAGGGTGCTCATACAATTTGGCTGTATACCTGTTTTTTCTTGCTGGGTAGGCAGGAATAAAGGGTCCCGCTCAGGTCAACTTTAGGGATGGATCCCAGAGTCAGAGGTCATAAAAAGCTGCTAAAGGATCAGCCTGTGGGACCAACGGGGCTCCTCCCAGGGACCGCTTCACTGTGCTGTGGGAAAAAGTTGGGCTCAATGCTGGACCCTTTTGTGGGTGCGATCCCACCCGACTGAAGGTGTCTGGGCTAGACAGAGAGGGTGTGACAGGGGAGAGGAGGAAAGAAAAGTATAAAATCCACCATGCCTCTTTTTTTCAAATGCCACTCTTTTGTTTTTAGCACTGTATCACTGTATCAGGTTGTCTATGCCCCTGCCCTCTGATTTCAGCCCTGGCCGAGTGGCTGTAGGGAGCGTCCCACATCCTGATCGATTCAGAAATTGCTCTATTTTCCTTTCCATAATCAGATTTTTCCACTGGTGGGTGTGGGAAACTGTTGCCCTGCACCTTATACTAGATCTAAAGCTCTGGAGCTGCTCTGGGAAAGCACTTTCTGTGGTTTTTCCACATCTCCCCTGAGGAGCCTCTCCTATCTGACTCTGCTTCTCATAACCCCAAACTGGAAGTATTTGGCATGTTGACTTTTTCACCTTTATGATAACATTGTTGTTGTTATGTGCCGTGGAGTCGGTTCCGACTCATAGTGACCTTGTACAGGGTTTCCAAGGCTGTAAATCTTTATGGGAGCAGAAAGCCTCATCTTTCTCCCACGGAACATCTGGTAGCTTCGAACTGCTGA